TTGAAATTTTCGATTTACTAATATCTATTACAAACACTTTAATTGAATGAACCAAATGTTTTTTTGTACAGCTTTTTGCAACCATAGACAAGTCATCATAGTTGTATAATTGAAAAATAACCTCACTTTTGGAATACCATTTTTCAAATACGGTTATACTGATGCTATTGAAATGAATATTGTCGGAAAAAGTGATGAGATATCAAGTCGAAATCTTCGAAATATACGTGAAAGTGTTACTGATTCGATTTATTGAGTGATTGCTTTAGAATTTTAACCAAACAAGTTTGTTTTCAATGGATGGGAACAGACTACATGTCTATTTAAAATTGTACCAAAAAAATGTGACCCTGCAAACATCACTTTACTCATACTAGCAATAGATTAGTAGTATACTATAATAATTATATTTATTAATAATTGGTAATTTGTATTTAAACTTACACTGTCAACTGTAGTGATTGTATCAGTGTTGCCATGATTATTATGGTTACAAAGAGTTTACAAATGTGCCCAAATTAGACAGTACCTGAAGTAACTCTGAGATGACGCAAACAAAATGAAATCAATCAATTATACTGGTTATAGCTTGATTTTTTAGCATACTTACTTTTTTATTTAGATGTATATATTGTTTGCAGTTACAATTTCTAAACTTTTCGGGTAACAAAATTTGTATAATTTTGGACTCTGTCGCCCTGGCGAGGCTTTGCTTTGACGACATGTTTGTTTCAAAACTTAATAAGATATAGCTATTCACACTTTTATATATATAGACATACATATATACATTAGGCGTCCTCATTTTCAAGATGCAGTGTATAAAAAAAGCTTAGTACATGTGCAAGTACTAATAAAAGGGCATACTTAAAAAATTTGGAGTGAAGTCATAAATGTTGCATTTTTTACTCTATTTGCAACTTTAAAAATTTTATTAGCAAAACGGTTTCGATGAAACCAGCATTACACTTATGTTGTCCTAGCAATCAACAGTTGTTATCCTGTTAATGCGTGCAGTTCTTTTTTGTTTATTATAATATTAATTTATTCAGAGTGTGTTTAAAATGATTGAAAACGTTAGTAACTGCATTTGACTTATATAGTCCATTTCAGTAAATGTAAACAAATCAATTTGATTAAAATTCCTAAGCAATCACTCTGTCAATGGATAAAGTAACACTTTCATGTATATTTTGAAGGTTTCAACTTGATATCTCACTACTTTTTTCGACAATATTCATTTGAATGACCAATTTTAAAATCATATTTGAAAAATCTTAATCCAGCTAGAATAACAACTGGCACAGTTAAAGAACTTGAATAATTCAATTAATATTTTAATTAAGGCACTTCAATTAGGCATCACTAAACCGTCGGCTCGGGTCAGTGACCTGTTTGTTTATATTTTTAATAAAATGGGTTGAAACAAACTATAGGAAAGCTGCTTTCCAATGAATTGTTACCTTTTCCAGGTATGTGGTGACATCCACGGACAGTTCTATGACTTAAAAGAGTTATTCAAGGTGGGCGGCGATGTTCCCGAGACTAACTACCTCTTTATGGGTGACTTTGTCGACAGAGGATTCTATTCTGTTGAGACATTCCTGCTTTTACTTGCTTTGAAGGTGTGTATGCTCAGTCATATTTATGTCGATTGGCACTGATATTTTAATAGCGAACATTTATTATTTTTAAATATGTAGTGCACTTTCAAGACCTAAAATATCGGGTTATGTTGGTTGCGAGCTCCTGCAGCATCATACAATATGTGTGTTTATTGTATGTATAGTGTTTTCCTTCTTTCAAACTCAACCCTATGTCTATTGCAGGTTCGCTATCCAGACCGCATTACATTAATTCGAGGCAACCATGAGTCCAGGCAGATCACACAAGTTTATGGCTTTTACGACGAGTGCTTACGGAAATATGGCTCCATCACCGTTTGGAGGTACATAATCGTAATATTGAATGAAGTATCATTTCATCATCAGTAGATTTATCTTTATCTATATAAAGGGTATGGAACAGGTGTATAGCCTGTAATGGCTTTAATATCCATGACATAGTCATGTATGTGCAGCAAGTATTGAAGAAGCACCTGCTATATTGTTTACATTATGGAGATCAATAGAATTGAAGAAAAGAACGTCTTGGATGATGCTACCAGTATCTGTGAAATTCTTATCAATGCAAAAATAAAGGCTGTCAAGTTTCATAAGGATGTTCGGATTAGCAATGTTGCTTAGTTAAAAGTACCAATTTCTTCTAATTATAACATATGAATCGATGTCAAAAGTCCACAACAATGCGCCACTAATTTCCAGATACTGCACAGAGATTTTCGACTACCTCTCCTTGTCGGCCATAATCGACGGGCGGATATTTTGCGTACATGGTGGGCTCAGCCCGTCCATCCAAACGCTTGATCAGATTCGCACCATCGATCGCAAGCAGGAGGTGCCTCATGATGGGCCTATGTGTGATTTGCTTTGGAGTGACCCAGAAGGTAAGCCATTGTACATGATTTAGTAGCAGTAGAGCTTTTTGTGAAAGAGTTTGTCCAGGGCACTTGTCTGAAGCAGTACTTGTCACCTTATCCATTTCTGCCTCCAAGCAGTAATGTGAGCATTGCTGTGCTCCGGTTTTGAAGGTTGACAGTGCTAGTGAAATTACAGGCACAGGAGTCTTGTCAACTTATGTCTCACGGTGACGAGAGCAGTGGCAATGCCCCTCTGATCTTTACAATTTAAAGCTCTGAGTGGCTCTACAACTGCTAAGGACATGCGTGACACCACCAAACGCACGACTCGTGCCTCCCGCCACCCGATAATAAAAAGTCCAATGCAATAAAAGTATAATGTAAAAGCCATTTTAGAAGCGATTTTGCGCCTCGTTATCTAAATTCCGACATCGGAAATTATATTTATACTCAATTTCATTGTACTGTTGTTACACATGTTTTCTTTTTTTTAGTATATATATATATATATAATATATGACATTCTATACTTTAAGATGTAATCGAAGTCCCAAAATGTAAACAGTTAACGTTCTCTGTCGAAGTGACAACTCATAGATCATAAACCTTTTTTCCGGTTCGTTTTTTAACACGTTCTACTCTTCATATTACTAGTAATATTTATGACGAATAAAATACCCTTTTGGATTATTACAAATTACAGAACTTTTTAGAATCATGTGTTTTAAAATATTTTCAATTGAGAAATGACGATATGAGGAAATGAGAAGGGCGATGGCCTATAGAAAATTATCCCAGATATGGCGCAAAAACCACAACTCAAATTTTTTTTGGATTAAGACTATTATTACCTCTATATAGTTTTGTTTTCGGTAACAGTGGCTAACATGTCACATATCTTTAGTTTTTACTCAGGCGAAATAGGGTTAAATAATGTATTTTCATGTATAAACCTATCAGTTACCTATTCACTTTTCCACTATTCTTAAAATCTTTTTTGTAGTGGCATCACTTTTGTTTACATTTTAGGACTCGGATTTCATCTCAAAATATATCTAATTGGTTTTCCGAAAAACGAACAACATTTAAATTTATTTTTAAAAATCTCCAACATATCGTAATAATTTTGTTATTGTTTTATATCAACTCCAAGATTATTGAGATATTCTGTATAATGTTAATCTGTATATTAATCTCAGGTTGAAATCCAATTACTATTGTAAAGGATATCTTACTTTCCCGACTGCATACTTTATAAAAGCAAATAAGAAACAGGAACATTCGTCCATTACAGACACACAAGGATGGGGCGTGTCCCCGCGCGGCGCAGGTTATCTGTTCGGATCCGACGTAGTGGCACAATTCAACGTCACCAACGACATCGACATGATTTGTCGCGCTCATCAACTTGTCATGGAGGGATACAAGTGGCATTTCAACGAGACTGTACTCACTGTGTGGTCCGCGCCCAATTATTGCTATAGGTAAGTGTCCAATTGAACTGGTCATTTTGTCAGTTTTCCGCGTACATGAACTGAGGATAGTAGTACACCTGTTGCACTTTAACTGAATTGTGCACTGTATAGTTAGCGCCAAATGACTGCTATTGGTGAGTCAAAATTTCAAAGTTCAATATCTCTGTCATAATGTTCAATTCACGATCGCGACGTACTTGCACAGTTACCTTAGGTGTGAACAAAGTTGGCACGATTAAATAATTTTGATTTAAATCAAATTATTTTTCAATGAAAATCAGGAATTTAATCAAATGTGTTCAAATTTTTTTTTTTATTAAATTGATATTCAATTATTTTTATGTGAAATTACTCCACTAGTTTGTTTAATTTTATTTACTGTCACAGAAATCATCATAAAATCAGACCATTATATTTTAAAGACTTCTTTTACATCTGGGAAATCAATATCATTATTATTATTAGAGATGCGCCGAGTACAAGTTTTACCGAATAACCGTGTACCGAATATTACTCGGCTTAACATTTGCCGAACCAAGTACTCGGCCGAATTACTCGGTTCATTATAACCGGAACGCGATGATCCTAAAAATCCCATTGCTCTAGAATTAGACCGATATGTCAATGAAAGTATATTGTCGCGAGAGCAGAGTCCTTTCCATTGGTGGGCGGGGCATAAAATAAGATATCCAAAACTGGCACAGTTAGCACGAGCGTTTTTATGTGCACCTGCAAGCACTGTGTATAGCGAGCGATTATTTTCCGAAGCGGGTAATGTGTATGAAGGAAAAAGGAACAGACTATTACCTGAACGTGCAGAAAGTGCTGTATTCCTACATCATAACTTGCCTTTGTTCAATTTTTAATATGAATAATGTAAACTTTCTTTTTGAATTACTAAATTGCTACAAATTGTTACAATTGTCTAGAATTTGTAGTAATAAAGGTCTTTTGATTATTTTAAATATATTGTTGGTTTTACTTTATTATGTCTATAGCTGTAATGCTTTATGTTAACCGAGCACTCTTCTCATGAACCAAGTTATTCGGCCGAGTGCGAGTAGTAAAAAAATGGCCGAGTACACCGAAATACCAAGTACCGAGTAGAAAACGAGCACTCGGCGCATCTCTAATTATTATAATACTTTAACAAAAAACTAGCTTGCCGCGGTTAAGTAACCTTTTACTTTACTACGTTTTACGCAAAAATATAGTTAAACTGTTTGATAAAATGAAAAAATCGTGATTAATTAGGATTTTTTTTAAATCGTGCTTTATTCTATTTTTTCACAAAATCATGATTTTTACCAACCCTGGGTGTGAACCGACGAACAATACCCAAAGACGTGCGACGTCGCTACACTTACGATTTATAGACGAGTGCATCGATGCAAACGCGCGACTGCATTGATACAGTCACTTATGTTGAATAATTATGTACGAAAAATCTGTATAGGTTTATGCACATTATTTTGTTTTGTTAGTTGTAAGATCAAAAGTGACATTAATAAATAAATGAAATAAATAAATTAGTTAATTAATTTAAAACGTCATCGCGTTTGCATCGCTGCTTAAGGTCACGCGCGTGTGTAAAGGATTAACGATTGCATCGCTACTGCTAGTCGCTGTATGTAACCGCTATAAAACGCCTATGTTTTTTTAAATACCTGGCTGATGTAGTTTACAATTCGATCGAATTTTTTTTTATAATATGTATTTAGAATATTTTTTGTGTCATAGAAAAACCACGTATTGTTTCCAGATGCGGCAACGTAGCAGCGATACTAGAACTAAATGAGAACCTGCAACGTGAGTTCACAATATTCGAAGCGGCCCCACAGGAGTCTCGAGGCGTGCCCTCCAAGAAGCCACAAGCCGACTACTTCTTATAATGGACATCTAGTATTACAGTTTTATGTAGTGACGAAACATTTCAATGTGTAATTTTAATGTGATTTTAAGACTGGTAAGAGAAAGAAAGAAAAGGTTTTACGGTGCTTTCTTTTTGTGTGGATGTCAACCGACGAGATTCAGAGTCTGAATTTGTAAAAGTCTGAATGTAGTGGGGGAATTTAGAGCTCTTACGCACACGAACATAGAACTTATTAAAAAAGGTAAGTGTTTTATCATACAATTAGATTATTCACTCTTCACATATTTCAAAATTGTTGTAGGGAATCGGACGTTTTCATAAAGTATTTAACATTGACCGTATTGGATGTGTGCAGCCAAGAAAAATATTATTTTATTTAAATAAAACTTTTCAAGTCTCTGAAACTATGTTTAAATGTAATTAAAAATAAATTGCCGCGTAAACTGTACTTACTACCTGTGATTTCAAACGCGTGACGTCAATTTTGTAGGTAAACAAAATATTGTTATTTGCGTATTGATTGCCTACTATCTACATTCCAATATTTTTGCGGTTTTTAGTTCAAAAGTGACTTAACCAAGAAGAAACATTGGATATAGTGATATTAGCGAAAACTCGGAATTGCATATGTAGTGGTATTTGTGTGTTTACAAAATTGGTTGTTTTTATGCGAACAGTTCACTACTACATATGCAAAACCGAGCTCTGGCTAATAATATGTTTGCGTAACAGATTAAAGATTTATCAATTTTTTTATTTTATTATTATTTCACAAAAATATTGTTTGAATTATCGTTTTTATTATGAAACCTTTCTGACTACATTTTTTTTTATTATTGTCCGGTTTTTTTAATTGTTACTATACAGGTCCTCTTTTACTAGCTGACATCCTGCCCAATGCGCGCTCATTCAATATAAAAACAACAACAAACAACTTCTCTGAAAGCGCAAAAGAAAAACATGTGTCGAATATGTGTTAATATTTACTGTGGTACAGCCATTGACTTACAAATAAATGGACGACGGGTTTACTACAAAAACCACGAAAAAAATGTCCCAAGTCAACCTATTCGAAATTTAAATTGTAATGTCATCGCAGTATCGCGCTGTCAGTCGAACAAATGAACTAAAGCGGAGTTTGGCGCTCTGTATACGATTTTAGCTCCTTACAAGTGCGGACACTTTTTAGCGCGGACCCGACGTCCATATAATTGTAAGTCAATGGGTACAGCCGATTATATACGCTTTTAAACTTTTGCATTGCTTAACATTATAAAACTGTGATTTGCGCGATCAAACAATTTAATAGGTATAGGTAAACGTCAGGATAATTTAATTACTCAAAAACGGCAGAAATTAGAAAATTCGATTTGAAATTTCAAATATTACTTAATGAAAACAATAATTTCTCATTCTCGTGTATAAGAGGATGACTAAATTGTATGCATAAATAAAAATAATCCCATGTTCTCAACAAGATTCATTCAACATTTTTTTTTATATATTCAAATCGTCTCTTCTCATCCATTATCATACGTACGTATACGTACCATCATTTTTGTGTTACGACAGTTTTTTGTGTTACGCACGTGAAACCACGTGCGATAATATATGTGTGCAAATACATATTGTTTCATCGCGTTTTGTTCTCCTTTTTGTAATGTTCATACAGTTGGTTTCATAAAAGCAAGTTATCTAATAAATTAGACCGTATATCATTCCTCACAACACCAATTGACATAATTTATAATTTTGATATCTGACAAAATTGTTTTATTTATATCAGACCATAGAACATGAAATTCTGAATTGAACTTTGAAAATAATTTTTCTGGTCAAAATTATAAGTTACTATACAAGAGCCCGTTCATTTTAACGCAAACATTTTGGCTTTGGTTCAATTTATGTTGCGGCGGAACGGGACGGAAGCGAATTTTTGTAACGGTATTGTACATAGCATAATTAACTTTATAGTCAATTGTGTAACGTACAAACTAGATACGAACCAAAATCTTCCGCGGAATGCGCGAGCATTCTCGAGCATGCGCGGGAATTCCGTTATTATTTATGCTATGTACTACAATATCGTTACGAAAATTCGCTTGCATTCCGTTCTGCCGCAGCCTTAGAGCCTTTGTATTCAAATCTGCCGTCGCTGCTACACAAAATAAAAAAAAATGGGTAAAGTTGTTCGGTGTCGTGGAGTCTCTCAAATTCCCTATTTGAAACACTTGTAACACGGTATTCCGCATTCACACAAATCGAGCGTCAGGTGTGTTGTACAAAGTTGGTCATTAAAAATTTAGCTTTCCTCATAGGCCCATTCATAAACCACGCGAAGCCAAGTTCGACTTAGTTTCCTTTATACTCAGATCTGATTTTCTACTAGTGGTAAAATGGAAACCCGTTATAATGTACATACTAAGCAAGATATTTTTTTCCACCATAGCAATAAAGGGTACTTGATGGAGAGCCACCTTTCTCCGCTTTCTACCATGCGTGGTAACATTCAGAATGACAGCATCCTCTCTCTATTTTTAAGACAAAGCTGTCATACATTTTAATTATTTTCCTGCTCATTTTTCTCAGGGGATTCTACCTTACGAATGAGCAGTAGAGTTTAATCAATATGACAATTTCTAGTGTAATTTGCTTACCTATGAACTAAAAGATTCTTTGAGTTTAATCATGAGATCGCCACTTGTAGTCTTTTAGATAATACTATATTGGGGATGTCACCTTTTTAGTTCTATTTGCGTTTTGATTCCACGTGCATTACACACACGAAAAGCCACGATGTGTGAACAGACTGGCTGATCCTGTATTTGCTGAATGATACAACTGGAATAACTTTAATGTCACCTATCGTCTAAGCGTACGTATAGCATTTTCGACAACTTGTGCCCGACTGTAATTAAAAAAAACCTTTAAATATGAATGGCGCCTTTAAAATAGCTTGGATAGTAGTTTTTTGTCTGAACAGTTTCTCATACTGTTCCCATAAAATGACCAATTGTTATGTTTTGAGTATTATGTTTTAAGTAGGAATTCAGTAACCGGATACAATGTGACAAAGTTACTTGCACCATCACTTGACAGATTGTTTGAACGCATTTGTTTAAATAAAAAATAGACGCAAATTAGGCGCTTGTAGATAGACTGCACTGGCGCGTTTGTGGCGCTGCTGCCACGCGACTAATATTTTTTATACAATATCTAGTCTGCAAAAGTGGCGCGACTGTGTTTATGTGCATGATGATAAATATTGTATGAAAATTGGTAGTAGCGCGACCGCAACGCTTCTACAAGGGTTCAATTAGAATTCGCCCTTAGATGGACAAAAACGACTCCGTAACTAGACTGCCCACCAAAATAACTGCGACAAGTGTCGTTAGTCACACCGCGTCCACAATATTTGTTCAACGCTCACGCTGTTTCATATAAACTCTTCTAAATATATATTTGGGTCAGCTCCTTAAATATGAAACTTGAATGCTGACATGAAGTTCAAAGTGAAATTAATTTCCGGAACCTGACAATAGGTACTGCAAATCTAAAACGAGTCATGGATTTTACATAATATGAGACCGTTTTTACCAGTCCGCGTCTTATCTACCGTGAGAATTTATCGGCAGCAAACTTAGCATAGTAGTAAACGAGCGGATGTCCTGTTCTGCAATTACTAAGCTCTTTTCTACCGCTGCTACCTAATATGCACATAAATAATAATCTGCACTATTCTACGCGGACCAGCTCATATAATATAACTATAATAAAATGCGTAACAATAAACCACATTGCAGATATAAATTTGTATGTTCGTAAAAACAATTTTACAAAATACAAATCCAACTTGCTTAGATCATATGATGTAGTAAAATTTATTTCTACCTATATAGATAACTGTTGGTATACAAAAAAATACTTAAAAATATCTATTTCGTAAAAATATTGTTAATGGAAATAATAAAAAAATATTTAAGGTAAAAAGATGTAATAAGAAGAAATTCAATAACATGCAAAAGCAGCCAGAAAAGTGATTTGTAAGAGGTGCATGTCAGAGTTGTTATAAAATTATTGCAACCTTATGAGACAAAACTGCGCGTGCAACAGCAATGGAGGACATCGCATGATACAAACACGATAAAATTTGGACACCCATAGAATTTGAAGCTAGTGGTGTCCCGCGGCTGTTTACTGACGCACAAAATCCCTGTGCAGTTCCATCGTGTCAAACAAAAACACTGTAATATCAAAAACAACATTGTGTAAAAACTGCAAAAAGGATTTTTCGATTTTTTTGTAATTGTCGAGGTTAATAACAAAAAGATAGATTTTACTTACTTTATACCGGGTGTAACAGAAAGGTGTGGTCATATTAAAGGACCCAAATGTACACTTGATTTAGACCCTGTGTGCAAAATATCAAATAAAAATAAGTGACTTTTAATGTTGATATAAGTTTAATTATGTTTGTATAAATAGTGATTGTCCGAAACAACCACTGCGTCACAACTCTATTGCTAGCTACGTTACTACGACTTCACAAATTCATTCATGAAACCTGGGCGGGGCGAAAGAACAGCTGACTACAATTGAAATGCCATTGTAAAAACATGATTTCAATATGTTGATAATACGTTAATATTAAGTAACAAAATCTTTAAATACCTAGAAAAATCGAATTATTTCTAATAATATTATTTTATGCCATACCTAGGTACGCGTACGTACTTATTTACATACAATTTAAAAAATATTTATTTACTTATTAAGCCCGTAGTTACGCACGCCTTCATCGTATACACATTCTACATAGTTTAGTATTAAGTAATACATTTATTTACGACAATTTTACAATAGTGGATACTTTTTTAATTGGTACTTACCTACTGTTCAATTCATACACGTTTTAATGAATTTCCTACGAATTGTAATTCACTGTTGTACAATGTACGAAATATTGACTTGTTTACGATAATTTTGAATAATAAGTACAATCACTGCACGCACTGCTGGCACATTTCACACATTTACAGGTAAGGTTCAAAATGCCGACCTCCATGCAATATGCATATTTCCGTGCGTCGGTACAGAGACTGCTCTACTCTTTGAAGCATCTGCCGAGTGATTTGACTAAATGCCATTTCGATCCGCTGCCTCATTTCTTCTGCGCTTTCACAGGACTCCGCATAAACAATATTTTTTATATGACCCCATAAAAAAAATCGAGCGGTGTCAAGTCTGGGGACCGCGCTGGCCAGGGTACAGGACCTCCCCGCCCAATCCACTGCGGGAAACGGTCGTTCAGATGGGAACGTACATTTCGAGCAAAATGTGCGGGTGCTCCATCGTGCTGGAAAGTCATCCTGTGTTCCATCACGAGTCTCACGTATTGTGTCACTGGCAGGGCCATCAGAACGTCATCCAAGTCTTCTGTTAGGAATCTTAAATAATTGGCCCCATTCAGACTTGCCGGCAAAAACACTGGACCGATGACGGCACAACCTATTATACCAGCCCACACGTTAATCCGCCACTGGTGTTGAAAATTTGATTCCCTTGATACGCGGGGATTCAAATGAGTCCAAAAATGTTCATTATGCATATTGATAATGCCCGCACGCGTAAATGACGCCTCGTCTGTCCACAGTACCGACTAAGCGAAGTCGGGAGACCTCCCAATCTGGTCGCGGTACCAGCGGCAAAATGCCAAACGTGGATCATAGTCCGCTTGTAACAGCTCCTGCGTTCTTTGAAAATGGTATGGGTGCTGGCCATCATCCCGTAGCACACGCCACACACTCATATGGTTCACACCACCAAAGGCTGCCGCAGCACGACGAGTACTTGTCTTTGGATTGCCGAGAAAATGTTCCAAAACATCTGCCTCGAATTCTGGGTCTCGTGAACTCGGCCGGCCTTCAGAACTGGAACCACGGAACGATCCACTATTATGAAGTCTCATAACCATCTTCCTGAAGCATTCCAGAGTAGGAAATGGTCGACGTCGATTTTCTGGGACGCCATCAATAAACTTTGCCCAATACATTTGGCGAGCCTGGCGCAAGCTCCCATCGGCTGCGCCTACG